AACTATCATAAATCTGAAACCTGACTTATTCTCTAATGTTTTCTTGGTTTAACTTAATGTCATATGATGTTTGTCTTTAACACTTATTTTGTTTTAAGTTACATGAAATGTTAGACTCGTTTGATCAACCTTTTTCAGTAAAAGCTGTGGACGGAGGCGTACAATTTAACTTGGTATGAGATGTTCGCTGGATATTCCAAAAATTATAACCCTAGTCTTTTTAGTTGTTGGTATTTATGATTATTCATGTTAAAATGTTAGGCATTGAGGTTCTTTAAAATTTTCTCAGTTAAAGATGTTTATATGCATTCCTTGGCTGTGGGTTTTACTGTAATGGGCATGTACCTGAGTGACTATATAGAACTATTACAAGTCTGCATCTTCTATGTTGGCACTTCTTTAGCAGAAGAGAGGGGGAAGTTTTAAATTGTTTTTTCCTTTTCCTCTGCCCACATGCAGAATGTAAAAGCATACTTTAGGAGGGGAACAGCGCGAGAAATGCTTGGCTACTATAACCAGGCCATAGAAGGTGAAGTCTTATTTTCATTATCCAATTATTATTTTGTTACTAATTAAAGCCCCTTCCACTGTTAAACTGCTCCTGCTGTTGAAGATGGCTCACTCGCATTTCTTACTCTTTGACCGTTTAATGACTAGGGAGTTGGGGATGGATACTCTTTGTCTGTTTAGTCACTAGGGAGTTGGGGATAAATAAAAAACTACCAAACTGTAACTAACTGACGAATCGTTCCAACACCGAAATTGATCATAACTGATTTCTGAAACAGTGTGATTAACTTGTTGAAGTTCAGGCTTTGAAAACTGACTGAACTGACCAACTGTCAAAGACCAACCTAACTATAAAGACGATTGAACTGACTTAAGCTATTTGGTCCAGTTCCTGATTTACAATGTTCAAAATTAAACAAACCAATATCCCTACTTTGTGGCATTTATTGTTGGTTAGAAATGTTCTTCATTTTGGTCTTGTAATGTCGATTGCAGATTTCAGATATGCACTGGTGCTTGAGCCAACCAACAAGAGAGCAGCCCAGTCTGCGGAGAGGCTGACAAAGCTGTTCCAATAGGAGGGGGGGGGGGGGTGCTTCGTTATTATAAGAACATAATTAGTGGGAGCTGATAGTTGGTTGATACATTCTTATGCCCGCCGATGAGAGGATAGATACCCTTGCAAGCAGCGCGAAAGTTCTGGAGCGATTCACCATTAGTTTTTGCAGTTCTACACCTTCCTTGATCAGATGAGTTTGTAATTATAGTGCAATTTTGGGCTCAATGCTTTGGTTTGGGCTTTTGAACTGCATGGATTGTCGAAGGAACTTTTGATTTTAAGCCTTCTAAAGCAAGCTTCAAATTGGTTGCTCTTTAAGTGATAATAATAACTTAGGATGTAGACATTATTGGCCTTTGAAGGTGAAATGGGCTTTACTTTAGTGTATATCATGCTTGCGGAAGTGTGATGTGGGATGAGACTTATCAGTACTCATGTAATGACTTGAAACTGGAGTAGTGGTGCGGTGTACCTGGTTTTGTTCATGCTTAGGAACACTTGTTTGGGAGGAAAGTAGTGACAACAGAGGAGGGTTAATAAGTGTTGGGATGTGTTAAAGGATTATTTTCCTTACACTTCAATATGAGGTGCATTGGAGTGTTGACAATATTACCTATGGACTATGGTAACGTAAAAATACAACCCGTCTTTCAAATTCCCATGTGTCATTCGTCTTTTCGTTCACACAGGTAAATATATGTATGATGCATGGATGACATCTACTCAAATTCATTTGTATATGTTGCAACGAAATACCCCTAGTCTCTTTTGCTCATATCGGATGCACAGATGTGCACAAGTAGTTTTAATTATTTTTGAACATGAGAATTTCACATATGCCCGATGTTATAAATTCATTCCTTTATACACCAAGGAATAATTGCTTAGTACTGATGTCACTGCTTTTTGTTGATTATGATTTTATTCAACTAATTTTTACTTGATTTTATTGAACTAAAATTTATCATATTTAATTGACGTAAAATGTGAAAATGTGAAATACATTGTGCTCCAATTTTTTTTAAAACTTTTTCTAGGGCAATCAAAGCTAGATCACAAGTCACAACGATGGGCGATGGAGAAAGAGTTTAAAACTTTGTCTATGAGACTATGGCTATCAATCTATCATCCAAAATATATTTATTTTTACATTTCAAATTTTCAATATTACTCTATAATTTTCATTGAACATTAGTTTTGAGCAATCTCCCTTAGCTTTGTTGTGCTATATTTTACATTTTTATGGCTTCGATATGTTTTTGTTGTTAACAAATAATATAGAAATTACTCCAAATAGGATTAAAACTATGCCAAAAACTCAAAATAGGATTTGTTATGTTTTTATTCCAAAATAGGACCATATCTCTCATATTGGAAACATATCTATTTTTTCATTTCATTCTTACCCCTCCTTTAAATATGATTAAAACATAGTCAAAAGTTATAATTTAATATTTAATTAATTATAAATCTGTTTTTTTAAAAAAATCATAGAAAGTCAATAAAAAATTAATAAAATATTTATAAAATATTTATAAAACAAAGAATTATTTTTTTAAAAAAATTAATAAAAAATAGTAAAACTCCATAAAAAAAATAAAAAAAAATATGAATGCCTTTCCCACCGCCTGTACTGCCTCCTTGCACCACCACCTCCGATCGGTGTAAAAAAATGCCAATTTTTCTGAAAATTCCAAAAAAATGGCATATTACTCTTTGGAATCACCCGTTACCGGAGATGGTGGCGCTGGACGGTGGAATTTTTTTAGCGTTTTTTTAATTTTTTAATTTTTTTTAATTTTTTGATTTTTTTTAAATTAGATGCCTTTCCGACTGCTTGTACTGCCTCCCTGCACCACCACCTCCGACCGGTGTATAAAATGCCAATTTTTCTAAAAACACTCATTTTTTTTTCCTGAAAATGCCAAAAAATGACATTACTATTTGAGAATGCCAAAATTTTCCTTGATTCTGCCACAAATATGGCATTTGTAATAGATGTGACACTTTGTTCCGCTAGTGACTGAAGGTGGTGGTGCTGGGGCGGTAGAGGCGGCGGTGATTTTTTTTTGCGTTTTTTTAATTTTTTTGAATTATTATTATTTAAATATTTTGATAAATTTTTTAGTATTTTTTACAAATTATTATTATTTTTTTATGAATTAAAACATTTCAGTAGCAACAAGCGCATATTTGTCCAACACACATAATTAGTCCTATCTAAACATAGTTTACTTTTTGGACCTATTTGTGCAAAGTGAGAAGGTTTTAGTCCTATTTTGACAATTAACTCGAAATAATAAATTTAATATCTTAAATATCCTTTTGAGTTTGTGCACTTGAATAGGAATCCATTTATCAAATGATTTAAAAAAAAGAGAAAAGTGTCAAATAGGTCATCGTACTATAATGAAAACGTCAATTGAGTCATCGTACTATTAATTTAACCAATCAGATCCTCGTACTTCCAAAAATGAGTCAATTTTTGTTTTTAGCCGGTGACTAACCGGTTACTTCCGGTTGGGGCTGACGTGGCTGCTTACTTGGCTTTAATTAAAGTAAACTGATATGTTTAATGACATGTCATACACCACAGGTTAAAACAGGACTTCTATCTATTCCCATCTGCGAACCTGCGAATGACAATGGAGAAGATGTTGAACCTGCGAACGCGAACTACCTCCGCCACTGAAAGAGAGTCACACATAGTCTAGGAAGGAGGAAGACGAGCTATTACTAGAACTGTCCAAGACTCGTGCACCAGGTAATTTCTCGAAAATTTGTGGCTTTTTATTGTACGTAGTTAAGCCTAAAATTGTTTACTTTCATAACTTGTGGGTAACTAACACTTCTGAAAAATATTAACAGGATGGTTGAGTTTGTACATCTAATTTTTCATCATGGAGGGAATTTTGCTTGTACTCCTAAGAATATGTATGTGGGTGGTCAAACTGAAAGTGTGGAAATTGATCCAGATCACATATGTTATCCACATTTGGTGAAGTTTCTTAATTCTGGAAATTATGGCAACATTAAAGGGCTCTATTTTAAAAAAACAAGTGAACCTATGGACATTTTACGTGAGCTCTTCAATGATAAATCAACATTAGTGTTGATAGATTTGGCTACAAGCTGTGGAGAATGTGATATATTTGTTGAGCATGGTTTCGATGAATATGAATTAGTTGATATTCTCCCTTTGCCTTCTCCAACCGTGGCACTTGAGGAACAAAATGAGATGACGAGAACATATAATGGTGTGAACATCAGGAGCATTCCGATTGAAGAAACCCCCTTTCATGAACAGGTTACTTTAATCAGTCAAATGAGGCAGATAATGTTGAAGGCCATGATCAAACACATGACACAAATGTTGTGTTTGAGGGAGGTAATGATGATGGGGGCCTTATTGATGTGGACTTAATTCCAGATTACAGTGGCTCAAAAGTGGAAGAGCAGGAGTCAGACGATGGTCAGTCCAAAAGGAGAAACTTCAATGTGCCCTCCTATAATCCTAAATCTGAACCTCCTTTGATTGAACTTCGAATGCTTTTTGAAGATGCTCGACAATTCAAGAATGCTATTATTAGATACTCTATTCATGAGAAAAAGGACGTGCATTTTGTAAAGAATGTCTTGACGAGAGTTAGAGTGAAGTGTGCACCTACTTGCACTTATAGTTGTACTGCCTCTTGGGAGAATACGTTCAAGTGCTTCCAAGTGAAGGTGTTGAACGACAAACATATGTGCAATTCTAAATTAAAACTTCGAGTGGTGAGTAAAAAATGGATAGCTGAGAGATATGAGGAAAAAGTAGAAGAGAACCCTTCCATGGGTGCTGTTAAACTAAAAAATATTATCAAAGCAGAGCTGAAGATTCACGTGTCTTTGAGTATGGTCACCCGGGCATTGAGGATTATCCATGAAAAAACACAGGTTTCCTTTAAAGATCAATTCAAAAATCTTAGAAGCTATGCCGAGGAATGTCTGCAATCTATTCCTGGGAGTACAGTAATTATTAAAACAGTGAGAACTGTCCCTGAAGCTCCTTCTGTCTTCCAAAGGATTTACATGTGTTTCGGCCCAGTGAAAAGGGTTTTTTTAGAGGGTTGTAGGAAAGTAATTGGGTTAGATGGTTGTTTTTTAAAAGGTCGTTTGAAGGGAGAGATACTGACGGCTGTGGGTAGAGATGCAAACAATCAAATGTATCCGGTGGCATGGGCTGTGGTCGAAATAGAAAACAATTCCTCTTGGTCTTGATTTTTGGAGTTGTTGAAGATAGATTTACATGTGGAAAACAGTGACATGTGGACATTAATAAGCGATCAACAGAAGGTATATATGAGTTCAATGTTGTATAGTTACACACACACATATTCAACTCATGAATATTTTTGCAGGGACTGTTACTTCTATTAAGGGACTGTCCACTTCATAACCAACTAACCCTAGATCTCCTTTAATGCAAGGGCTGTCAAACGCAATTGCCAATGTGTTCCCCGAAGCTGAGCACAAGAATTGTGCTAGACACATCCACGCCAATTGGAGCAAGAAACACGGGGGTATGGCTCTCAAGACACTCTTCTGGCAGTGCGCGAAGTCTACATTTCAGGCTCAACTAGAAGCAACATTAGAAGAATTGCATAAGGCGGATCAAGAGGCTGTGGCAGACTTGCGTAAATCCAAATTGAAATTATTCTGCAAGGCCTACTTTAGAACAAGTGTGAAGTGTGATAGCGTGAAAAATAATTTGTCAGAAGCATTTAATAGCACTTTGATAAAGTGTAGAGAGAAGCCCATTATACCAATGTTAGAAGATATTAGAGTGGCAACGATGAAGAGAATAGCCAAAAAGAGGAAGTATGTTACCAAATGGCGAGGTAAATAATTTCATTTTTTAATCTTCCACGAGAATAGACTTAAATTCTTCATAGGACAAAACTTTATACAGTGACTTCGTTAAATGGTGTTTTTAGTTCACTAATTCTTGCAAATCTAAATTAATGACAGGCACGTATGGGCCTATCATAATGAAGAAGCTAAACAAAAATATCGTTGTTAGTCAAGGTTGGCATGTAGATTTTAATGGGGATGATGGCTACGAGATAAAGAAGGGTCGGCAACAATTCAAAGTCAGCATTCAGGGGAGGTGTTGCTCATGCAGAAGATGGGATCTATCTGGTATCCCTTGTGCACATGCCATATGTGCCATCTTTGACCAAGGACATGATCCTGAACACTTTGTAGACAAGTGCTACTCAAAGGAGATGTACCAGAAGACCTATTCGTATACTTTGCAGCCGATTAATGGGCAGTTACTATGGCCAAGAATGGAATATGAAGAGCTCCTGCCTCCGATACCCAAAATAATGAGTGGCAGACCCAAAAAGAAAAGAATAAGGGAAGAAACAGAAGCTCCACCCTCTGGTTCACAACTTTCAAGGAAAGGAAGAGTCATGACTGTTGGAAGTATGCCCTAGGACAATCATACTTTATGATTTATCAATGAATATTTAATGCTCATTAATTAATAAAGTAACAAACTCATTTTATGTTAATTATTATTGTGAGTTTTCTTTATTAATATTTAGTCCCTGAATATTATGTTTAGTAGCTAATTAAGTACATGACTTAATTTTGGAATGTTACACTTTAAAATAAGCATAATATTCTAATTGTCCATGGTCTAATATTATTAATCCGGGACATTAATAATTAATAAGACCATTATGTGGATTAACCGATGGCTATATTCCACTAGTCATGGGTATAGAGATATCAAGTTAATAACATAGATGCTTGTTAGTGAACAAGTTCATTGGACAGACCCAACTTGAGGACACTGCTAGGTTATATGTCATCAGTGTTGTCCTCAATAATGATGAGGTGCTATATTCTTATACTTGAGATAATCATGGTTACTTGCATGCGAATTAATATGTATTAACACCATTAAATATTATTTTAAATGGGTAATTATAAAGGTGGTGATTGTACATATTATGAACCATGTAGTGGTATGTGAATTATCAAGATAGTTTTTGTCACTCTCGTATAGCGAGAGAAAGATATCTATTGGGCCCCTTGACAAGTAAGATTAATTAGCATGACCATGCTCAAATGAGGTGTCATTTGTTCAAAATTAATCTTACTTGGTAATCAAGAAATATTAATTGAGAATAACAAGGATGACATGACCTAACCTTGTCTCAATTAAGATATCGTTTGACAAAAGAGAATTATTAGCACAAATTAATCATTAAAAGGTTATGTCAGATTTAATTGACATTTATATATTTTGGATAGTCATAATGCCTTGCTAGAGGCCGCTTATGATTTGTGAGGCTTGAATTAATTTGTAGCCCACTGTCAATAATATATAAACCTACAGGGTCACACAACTAAGTGATTTGGATAATTAATGTTCGTTAATAACATTAAAATAGCCTGATTAGCCCAATTCGAAATAGGGTTTCGAATGGTATTGGGCTAGGGCCTCTTGGAGGGTTTTATTAGCTATAAAACTCCTTCTTTCCTCCACTTATAAATAGGGCTATATAAACCCACGAATTTTAAGAGTTAAAATTCACTTCTAAAACCTAGAGTAGAGAGGAAGAAAGAAGAGAACGCTAGCAAGTTCCCTGCGGTCGATCCAATCACGTGCGTGTGGATACCGGTAGAGTTCGGGATCGTTTTCTCGGACTGTCTGACATCCTTGATTAAGATTGCTATGTAAGTCTCTCTTATATCTTGTAATTTCGTCTATAGTAAGAACCCCAGATCCGGTTGTTTACTTTTGGGCAGTATTTTTTTGTTTATTCCGCTGCGTTTTTCTGCCCGAAACCCAACAATGGTATCAGAGCCTACGGTTCTTTATTATATTCGGCTTACCTGATTTAATATATAATCAGTAATTTGATTATTTTGGAATTTTTCGGAATTAATTTTTATTAATTTCGGAATTAGTTTTTTTTATTAATTTCGGAATTTATGTGTATTTATTTTCCGAATTTTTTGGTAAGGATGTGATATTCGAATATTTCGAATTTGATCCAATATATATTCACAATTATATTTGGAATATTTTGTGATATTATTTATTATTTTTCAGATCAGATCTAAATGGAATTAGGAATTGGATAAAATCCTACATCCTAATTATTCGGAAGAGATCTGAATGGACATGAAAATTGAATAGTTTGAGTTGGATCCGAATTAATACTCATAATTTATGTTAAGAATATTTTATGATATTATTTATTATATTTCGGATCAGATCTGAATGGAATTAGGAATTGGATAAAATCCTACAGCCTAATTATTCGGAAGAGATCTGAATGGACATGAAAGTTCAATAGTTTGAGTTGGATCAGAATTGATACTCATAATTTATGTTAAGAATATTTTATGATATTATTTATTATTTTTCGGATCAGATCTGAATGGAATTAGGAATTGGATAAAATCCTACTGCCTAATTATTCAGAACAGATCTGAGTGGATATCAAAAATTCAGTTTTTTTAATCAGATCTGGTTCAGAATATTATTTTAGTTTTAGGAGATTTGGTTTCTAATTTTTCGGATGAGATCCGAATTATTTTGGCAACCGCCGGCTAATGAGCTGTTTTTGTGGATCAGACAATCTTGTTTTGGCCGTAACTTTTGACTCGTTAATCCGTTTCCGACCCATAAGTACTTTTCGGAAACGGGAAGACGAGCTCTACACAAAGCAAGGCAAAGCCGTGACAAATCTCCCATATTATAATTCGAATGATTTGATCAAGTGTTCTGCCAAATTCGAATTTAAGTTAATTATATTTAATTCGTATTTATATATGTGCGGATTTTAAAATTTAATTTTCAATCCGTGCATGCGCAATTATTTTGTTTCGTCACAGGACAGATTGAATTGATGGTATAGCATGATCCGAATGTATGTTTTATATTATGTTGTTTTACGACCTGCGTGTCGTTATTCCAAATATCCCATGTAATGTTTTCAACCCCGTAGATATTTAGTAGTCTACTGCACAGGTTGAAGATGCCAAGGAGATATGAAGTATTAGGGGTCATGCTATATCACTACACTAGTTTTAAATTATTTATTTAAATCTATGATTGCTGCATGTGTTTAATAATTAGTCCCTATCAATTATAAGTCTAAATTGCTTTCCCAATATGGCCACCATTTATACTATGCTAGTCGTGTTATGTGTCTGCCAAAGCAGAGCATTTCACACTATCTTAGGAAGATGTTTTGAATGATCGTCATTCTCGGGTCTTAATATTGGTTTGGACTTACAAGGCCATCAAAATGGTTTTGGGCCTTGAAGCAAGGAATGTTTGGATAATCATATGATGGTGACCAAACAAACCAAGAGTCATATAGGATATGATTAACAAGAGTTGTTTACCTAAATAACTAATGTTTAAGTGATAAACCAAAGCTTACTTAAATTTTAGTGAAATATGGATCTTGGACCACTATATTTGGGACTTTCTATTTAATATAGTGGGAGTTATTTTGAGCATTATTTAAAATTCTTTGCATTATTTATTGTAGTAAATATGGCCACCAACACAACTTTTTCACTGCGATCAATCCTTGAGAAGGAAAAACTTAATGGAACAAATTACATGGACTGGGATAGGAATCTGAGAATTGTTCTCAGGCAAGAGCGTAAAGAATATGTCCTTGACCAACCAATTCCTGCTGAACCAGCGGCCAATGCTCCTAGAGCCACTAGAGATGCTTATGAAAGGCATGTCCGTGATGAGGTTGATGTCACTTGTCTGATGTTAACCATCATGGAAGCTAATCTTCAGAAACAGTTTCTGAATCGTCGTGCACATGACATCTCTAATGAACTCAAGAACTTGTTTCAGAAACAAGCACGGATCGAAAGGTTCGAGTCAACCAAGGCTTTGTTTCACACAAGGCTTACTGATGGGAGCCTAGTTGGACCTCACGTACTCAAGATGATTGGATATAGGGACCACTTGGAAAGACTTGGATCTCCAATTAGTCAAGAGTTGGCTACTGATGTGATTCTCGCATCACTCACCCTGGCATACGACCAGTTCATCCTGAACTATAATATGCATGGTCTTGAGAAGACCTTAACCGAATTGCATGGAATGCTCAACTCCGCTGAGCAAAACATCAAGAAAAATCGGAGTGACGTTTTGATGATCAAAAAGGGAAAGGGATTCAAGAAGCCTGGAAAAGGCAAGGTTGGTGGAAACAAGAAATCCAAAACTCTGGTTAAGAACTCGGGTAAAGGCAAATCTGTTGCCAGCTCTACTTCTAAAGAAGAGCAAAAACGTTTCCACTGCAACAAAACCGGTCATTGGAAGCGGAATTGCAAGGCGTATTTGGAAGAACTGAAAAGAAAGGGGCATGGTGATGCTTCCAATTCAGGTATCTATGTGATAGAAGTAAATGTTACTACTACTTCATGGGTATTAGATACCGGTTGTGGTTCTCACATTTGTTCAAATGTGCAGGGACTGACAAAGAGTAGAAGGATGGCTAAAGGTGAAGTTGACCTACGAGTAGG